ATGGGGCATTTCGGATTCGTCAAAACAGGATCATCTATGTCTTTACGGGCATGTATGTCCATATGCAGCTTTAATGTAGATTTCAAATTGAATCTAGAGATAAAATTTTGTGTAGCAAACTTTTAAGCAAGCAAGGGATAAAAAAGTAGCACAAAATGAGATACCTTTTAAAGCAGCGGCTACACTGATATGGTTTCGAACTCTCGCTTGGATCATGCACAAGATTATGTCGTCTTAGCAATGAGATCTTTGGGAAACAACGATTGCATATGCGGCAGTAGTAAGCAGAGTAAACCTCTGAAATGCTATGATATTTAAAAAAAGAGCATCATCAAACTAGCACTCGCGTGCTTCCTTACCTGTTCCATGAGCTTCTCTTCGATGCCTTGTAAGTGTTCTGCGACTAGCAAACACGCAACTGCATTCTGGACAGTCAAGAACCGCTTTAGAAACTCCAATTGGGTGTTGCATCTTTATATGACGATTGAGATTCGACTGCTATAGCAGACACAGTCACTATGTGATGCAAAGAAAAGAAAATTCACTGAAATGTAGTACCTTGGCAAAAACCTGGGAACAAATTTTACAAGTAACCATAGCGCCGAGAGGATCTCTATGCACTGTTTTCATATGACTATCCAAACCATTCTTATGGCTGTATCTTCTTTCACACATTGAGCAACTCCATTTTTTCGTTGTTTCTAAAAAATGAAACTGTTCTTCATTGAAAACTTCAGAATTTTCTTGACAAGCACAACTTCGGGCTACAAAACCCTCTGTCTGGAAGATCCAAGACAACTTCTACTCCAAAGAAAGATTTTTAGTGAAAGTAGAATTACTAGCCATGAACTTCAGAATGCCTCTTAAGATCAGCGCCTCGTCGAAATACTTTATCACACTTCTCGCATGTGAAACATTTCTTCTTTTTAGGCTCGCCGTTTCCTGACGTGCCCTCAGAAACTGCCTTCAACACCTCAACTGTTTTACGGATCTTTTCTTTCCTTGCATCCAAACGTTTCTTTTTCTTGTCGAGCTGCCTGAAAAAGTATGCGAAGTGAAGTAATAAATAATTAAACAGGTTTTTACTTACACGTGTATCGAGTGGAGAAGCCGATGACCTTCAACTTGCTCTAGAGCAACCATCGAACAGC